CCTGCTTTGTACTACAAACCCAACATGCATCTTCTTCCTATTCCAAAGTGGGACTTACCCCCCAAAATCTGTCAGCTTCCTGATAGCTGTGTGAAATGGGCAAAAGTCCCCCTGATATTAGGTGTAATCCAAACTTCTCCCTTGTGAATGAAGCCAAATTATGAACCAAATTTTGAGAAATGGAAGGTTAGTGTAGCCTTGCAGACATTTATGTGGAAATGAATCAAACTAAGTTCATTTCAACACCAATGCTGTGTAATCATGATGTTCTGAGATCTTACTAAGAAATACTTTGCCATATTTTCTTCCATGCTGCAAGGGAAAATAATTCTAAATATATGTACAATAGTTGGAGAGCATTCCCATCAGTTTGGAGTTCCAAGTACAAGAAGAAATTGAGAAATGCTTAATGTTTCTGCTGTAGAGAAATATTTAATGCAACAGAATTCCTTCTCAAAATAAGTACACATGTATTAGTGTGCATGCTGTTGTGAAATAGTCACTTTCATTGCTAGTAAGATTAACTTAAGAGTTATATTTCCAAAGGAGCTTCTACAGTAGTACAGTATAACAATTGCAGTATGCCACACCTAAAGAGTCTTCCAAGAGATACTGGAACAAACATCAGAACTCACAGCTTGGGGGCTATTTAACAGGTCAGTTTTTCAATACAAAAGTGCTAATATCACAGGTCCCATATGAGAGGCTTTTGGATCCAACATTCTATACATACATTACAGAAATTCTGTCCTGTTTTTGTCACTGTTTCACAAGCTTGCAAGACTTCATATCACTTCCCATTCATCTTCAAAATCATCAGGGTGAAGCAGAACAGAAGTGTCATTATTTTTCTGCAAACTATGGGAATGGCTAAAGGTCTTAGTGAGGCGCTGGAGAAGGGATCCTGAAGTACTGATCGCCCACAGTTCATCTAGAGGGGTCACTGCAAAGCATAAATTATCCATCTTTTAATTACGGTAGCAGGTTCCAATTACAGACATTAAATAAATAATATTTGGATCTATTTTCCTAATTATAACCAGACAAGGTTTTTACTAATGGGATAAAAGCACCCTTCGTGAAATTCTCACAGTCAACAAAGCATTTAGAGATATGCACTCTCCCTGCATATGGTCAGCCCGAGAACCATCAGGCAGAAGTCAAAGCAGGTATCACGATGTTTTGGACCATCACGCAGAACCAACTTGCCTGTTAAACGCGAGACATTTCCAGGAATCTTCTTCCAGTAGTCTCCTGCTGGATTCTTGTCAGTAATGCCATACCGACGAGCTACATCTCCATTTGGACAGCGTGCCCAAACTGTCCTCGTACTTATTGCCAGCTGACAAGCCTGCAAACCTAAAGATAACAGGACATGAAGAGGGAATAATCACAGGCTTTCTTATATACTAAACATACTTGCAGAAAAGTTTATTAAGAGAAGATAGCAAGACTATAACAGGTTTTATATATTCTTACATTAATACTAGAGAAGAACTTTCCATTACTAAAAGCACAAAGAAATAGCTAGTTTTCCAGCAGGCTTTCTAAGACAGGACTGGCAAGAAGACAATTTAGGACTATGTATTTCCTTACACTGAAATTAGAGGAATTGAACAGAGTGGATGCTATTCAAATCTGAGCTTCTGGCCCTGCGTAAGCAGAATATCAGAAAGTAAGCTACTTGAGGCACATGAAGCATCGGTGAACAAAAAAGCTTTTTAACTGCAGACTTCTACTCACTGTGTCTACTGACCATAAGGATATCGCACTGCGGATACATTTAGTTATGTGGCCGCAGCCACATGCAACAACCAATTAAAGGACCTTCAAAACATATTTTTGGAGCCTCCACTGTATTTTACCAGCACAAGGGGAATAATCCAACAGTTTTAACTTTAGTTTTTCTAAAAATGGTTAACATTATAGACATTGTGGACTTTTTATTTCTTCCTCTTCACAAGAAAGCAAGTACTCCACAACTAAGTGCCATGCATTTATGCAGTGAAAAATCTTTTAAAAGCAAACAGCATTAATACACAGTTATTTAGAAAGAAACAACTAAAATTTAGTTCTATTTACAGGCAAGGCAAAAATGTAATTACCTAATCTAGAATGCATCCAGCATGCAGGATTAATAGAAAGATGTGCAAAAAGCAGTAGGTTTTTGTTAGCCACATCTAGATAGGAACCCCATGTTGTACTACATTTAAATACAAAACTTCCCACAGCACAGTAGTCTCCTATTGCTTAGGAACACTGCTTTAGTTCTAACTGAAAGGGGACTGTACCATTTATTAATTCAGTGGCAGCAGCCTGAAATAACACACAACGGAAATTCATAAACAAATAAATCAGATTTCTCTTCAGTTGACCACTTAGTGTTTTTAAATAAAACCAAGGTCATCTTTAAAAGATAACCCTTATCAAATACTTTACTATATTTCTATAAATAAGTACACTTGATTGCTGAGAAAAAAATATTTGATTTACACATTGCTATCCAATTTAAAAAGCAACAGGAAAAGAACCACAAGAAAACACAAGAAAACCCAACACTGAGAAAATGGCAGAAAGAACAAGGAACTGATGCATTAATTTTTACCTGGTACATGTTCCCAGTCAGTGCCTACAGGCATTTCATCTGTAATTCCAACTCGTACGTGGACATTCCATTTGCTATCAATTGCCCACAACATCTGATCATTTGGACTTGAATGAATGCTGACCAAGTTGATTCCTACTGGCTATAAAAATTAAGCACAGTATTTAAACTTTGTACTACTGTATCTTTGTACTATTGTATCACTTGTTCTCAGAAGTACACAAGAGAAGTAAAATATTTACCAGATACTAAAGACAGGAAGAAATTTAACTGACATTTTATTTGTCATTGTACAAAATTACCAATTTTCAAAAGTCAATCCCTTCCTAAATAAAAAAGGAACATGAATGAATGCTACCCAAAGTTATTGATAAAGATATTAATATTTAATGTTCAGCATCTGACTCTAATAATATTAATAATATTATGTTACTCCAATCAGGTACTGTTTCAATTCCAAGTTGAAGAGGGAACTCTTTCACTGAAATGCACAAATATTTTCCTTTTGCCTTCCTGAAAGTTTTCCTAACATAACTAAATCTGCACTTTATTTCTAAACATATACAAGCAGTACATTTTTACAGTCTGAATGTCTCCTCTTTGCAATGAAATGGTGACCTGCCTTCTTCCCTGTACTCCATTCTACAGGAACATGACCATGGAACTCATTGCAGACCACTGCGGTACTGGAGCAGCCACACTGCAGGAGAGTATCCACAACCCTATCTGTCCGCAAACCCAAGTGAAACACACTTCTCATTCTGCTCCCAGGCAAGTCCTTACTCCATCTGCTTCTGTGGAGATTTGCCTTAACTACTGTTCAAAGTCAGTGTTATAGACCACAACATTTTACAGACATCATAAAGATGGTGATTTTGTAGCAAAATATATCAGCCAACAGGTTTAGTGAATGCAAAACCTGTACTTTAAGTAAAACACAGATAAGAACAAGAAAAAAGTTTTTCTCCATGTCAGCCTAATAAGGACACTGAAGAAGACAGTAAGATGCCCTAAAATATATCACCTCACAAAGAAGCACTGCATTTCTTGCATTAACATCATAGGCATGAGTTGAATTTCCAGTGTGATAAATACAAAAGCAAGCAGCTCTTTCCATGTATAAGACTAGGAATACAGAAACAATCTGCATGTGTATAGAAGCACACAACCCAGTCCCAGATGGGCCTTCTGTGTACATAACAGTTACCCGCTTTGTTTTTGCTTTTAAAATTCTGGTGCTAACCAGTGTCTGATCCAGCTATAACCAAGTTCAACTTGCATCACCAAATCAATCCTGTTTCTTCAGGTTGCAAGGCCTCTGACATGCTATCTTCTCATGTTTGTGCTCTCATCACTTATTTGCCCTCCGTTGGAAGCTTCAGGCTGATAGAGCCTTGATGGAGTGTTTCCTTCTAGTCACAGTAAATTCACTATGGCTGCAGTTTGATCACTTATAGTAAGACACTAACTGTCTTGGAGAGTGTTGACTACATAGAATATATAACTGCCTAGATACCTTCACATTGGTATTCTGCCATATTAGAAATAAACTACTGTATCGCAAAACAAAACCAAAACCAACCAACCAAAACAAAAAAACCCAACCCAACCAACAAAAAACCCCAAACCCTAAATCACAACAAAACCAAAACACTCCAGACTCCTTACAACTCTCCCCTCTGGTCTTGCTGGCTCTTCACTGGAAGTTATCCTCAATCCTGGCCCTGTTCCTGTTTCTCCCTTCCATTTTTGTTTCTTGTTATGGCTACTTTGGCTCTGACTCCTTCCTACTTCGATTTAGGACTTTCTGCCACTCTTCCCCCACGTCCTCCACACCACGAATTGCCAGTGCGCCTGCCTACGCTCCACCTCTGCATTACACTTCATGTTCCAACTACAGTCCTTCACCAACTGTGCCAAACAGCTTGGTGTGACCCTTGCTACTGAACTGTTGGGGTCTGTGCACCTGCTCTCCACTCTTCCATGTCAGGATGCTATTCCTCTCTTCCTCTGTCATTTGTCTAGAAAAGAACTCCTTCCAGAATTTGTCTAGAAAGGAATCCCCCCCTGGTATTTCCATCCAGAATGACTGAGTGCTCACACCTAGGGCCAAAGACTGTGCATTACTATAGGTAGTGGGAGCTAAGAAAAGGAAACAAAAAACCCCAAAGAGGTAGCATGAAAGGAGTTGCAAGATGCTCAGCTAGATTGTTTGTGATACCACTGTAGGTTCAAGTATAATCAAAGCAGTTACCTCTACCCTGTTCTGCAGCACCAACGTATCTAAGAAACAAATGGAAATTATCACATTCAAAGTAACACCTCTACAAGCTTGGCGAAAAATTCTTCTCATTCTCTGTTTTTCTAAGTGAGCTCCTGTTTCCTCCTCAAGTTTCCCTACCTCTCTGGGTATTTCACTTTTGATGTCTCTTCCTTTTTCAGGCTACTTAGCTCTTTCTGATAAACTTGCATCAATAAAACAAGCCTCCTACTTACTCTCATTGCAAAGGATCCAGGCAATGCACTGACAGCAGCACCCAAAGCTCCCCCCTCCTCACTGCAGCTTTCTGCTGTGAAACAGACAGTAAAGGACATAACTGACAGGACAGCTAGGGATATGATTACATACAGCACCTTTTGGCACAAAACAGTGACAAGACATTGGGAAACAAGAGCAGGCAATTCTTAGAGCCTGTTGCAGAGGTTTTACCTCTGTGGTTTGGGTTTGGTTTTTTTCCAGAAAGCAGCCATCTACAACAAAAAGGTTTTCTCATGGCTACCACAGTAGGGTAGATAAAATTAATTTTAAATTTTCTTGACATAATGTACCATTTTTTGGAACAATCATACTGACATCTCAGATATTTCTCATTTTCACAAAGTTTTAATTACCATAAGCATACTTTAAGTATTTTATAATTTATATAACAAGAAACAGCTCTATAGCTGCAGTTAAAGACTAAATAGAGTTCTCTCATAGCAGTAGAGAGATACCTTTGCAAATTTATAAATCTGCTGATAATATTTCAGAGAATGCAAACTATGCAAATCAATACGTTATTTCAGGGTAGCCTTTTCTTAGCTGGTTTAACTTCCAATAGCATTCAGGAGATTTATATACCTTGACTGTGAAGTATGTTGTATTTATAAGTTACTGAAGAGTTTGGAATTTTGAAGCCTCTCACCAGTCTCTCAGCCTCCCTCCTCAGATGCTGACACACCAAAGGTTTACCCACAATACTCATTGCTGTGAGAGATTAACCTGTTATGGAGTATTAATGGATTCAGTTGTCTGATAAAAAAAGGTGGAACATTGCTTTCCTTTTCCTTGTGGTGCCAAAAATTTCTAAACTCAGGAGACTGACTTTTAGCCCAGAACAGAATGCAGATTCTCCTACCTTCTGGTCTTATACCTCAGCTACAAAATCCCCAGTTGCTCTCTTTTTTAATATTGAGGATTTTCTATTACAACCATGGACTGCAACACATGCTAATTATGTACTTTTCAACATTTAAAACTATGTAATAAGAGATGTGAATATCTTTATTGTCTGCTACAAATAAAAACAATGAAAAATAGTTTGCTAGCACGCACTTGTCTGTTGAGAAAACAATGCCGATAAAATGAAGTAAACTTGAAGGAAGCACTTAACCAACAAACTGTTAAATGAGATGGTGTCTATTCTAAACATATTTAAGTTATAAAGTCGTCCATTAGCTTTACAATTCTGTGCAAGTCATTTCCCTTCTTTCTGCACATCACAGAGAAATAAGCTTCAGTGTAACAACTTCATTTAAACAATAGGATCAAACAAAATCCAAAGTAAAAACTAATGCAGTCGTCGTGTCCCCCCCAACATACTACTCAAAAGTTTTGTCTTATTGTACTGCTTCAGTCATGGCTGAACCCGAAACACAGTGGTTCAACTTCATGGTCAAGGAGGACATGGGGTCTGTGTGTGTGGAAGACACACACACAGAGAAAAAGGCATCAGAACATCTTCCATGTTGCTTTTCAGGAGCACAGAGTCCATGTATCAGCAGATCTCCACTATCTCTGTTTTGCTGCAGATAACCAGGATGAGGAAGACTGAACATAACATCTTCAGTCTGTCCAAGCCCGATCCTTTTTATAACAGGTTGGTGGCTACAAGCAGCACAAATGTTCTCCTCACCTTGACAAGACAAATCAGAAACACCTTCAGCTGGTCCAGGCCAGGCTGTAAGGTCAGAACAGAGACAATTCTCACGCTTTCGAGCATTACCTGTATATCAGACTAATCTGACTATTTTCATGGGTAACAGAGATCTAGACTCTATTATACAGAATAACAAACAAAGAATGCAACTTAGAGAGACTCTCCCCTAATACAGGCCTAAGTATTTGCATATTATTTTCTGAGCTCCATTTGAATGAAGGTTGCAAAGCACTTTCAGCATTAGAGATATCAAGAAAGCACAAGTAATGTAAGAGCAGTATTGACCAGAATGTTTTGCATTCAGACTTCGAGGATAACAGCTTCCTAAATTAAAAGCCTCTTTTTTTTCTCTGCAGAGAAGTTCAAGGCAGTATACAAGAACAGGAAAGATTATGAATCTATGTTTAGTCTTCCTGGAAGCGTTGTGTTCTTCAGTAACGCTGCCATTGAATTGTCAGAAAAAAATTATTATTTATTGACTGAAAAATTGGAGCACTATTTTCCTCAGAAGCCTTAGAACAACATGACCCTTTCCCCCACTTTCTGCCTTCAGTGAATAAGCAGACAAGGGCCTTAGTTGCCTATGTGCAGTCCATGGCTAGCACAATCGGGAAGAAAAAGCAAAGCCAAAGGGTCAATTCCTTGACCTCTCCTTTGTCGACTCTAAATTTTTTATTGCAAGAGTTCTTCTCACAGAAACGTGGGAACGACTACAACATATGGCATCAAATCCTAGAAAAGGTCATACCAAACCCACGCAACTATTCACCATGATAAAGCTCAAGAGAAATACTTTCAACTTTCAAAATATTTAGTACAACTGTTCCTTACAAGCAATTAACAAAAATAATTAAAAATTTCACTTTAAAGACCATACAAACTACAGGCCTACTCAGGTTTGCCCAACTGTCTTCTGATCACACTGTCTTATATCTAAGATTAT